AAAAAAAAAAATTAGAAACATCATGATCCAATTAGCCATTAACATTGTATTGGTGTTTTTTTGATAGGCAAGTTAACGGATATCCACGGGAATGCCCTTCAATACAACAAAGAGGTGAAGCACATGAATTCTGCAGGAGTCCTTGCCACACTGAGGAATCATGACTACTATGCAAGCCGAGTTCCAGAATCGGTTAAAAATGCACTTGTTCCTTAAAGCAGAGTCTCATTTACTTAAGTAGCAGGAGGACTTAGTTCTTAACATATTTTAAAATCAATTGGATAAAATTAGAACTCTACCTTTATTCATTGTTGATCAGTGACTTATGTTTAGTTACTATACTTAGGACTAGAAGATAGATTTAAAGAAGTTAAAGTTGATGAATTAATCAGCCAGACCAATTTTGACATCTGGAGAACTTATAAATTTAACATGTTATATTTCTTTTCCTTCTTTTATGTGGAGAAATGAAAAAATGGTTAGTTCGAACTGGTATTCCAGATCGCCTATTAACTTGACATTCCTATCTTGTAAACCGGCTTTCTTTAGGGCACGGTTTTTCCTACATCTCACTATTGTTTTTCACGGTGATTTTTAAAGTGTTTCTACTCCAGTTATGGATATATATGTTATTATGTATGTTAATGAAAAGGATTTATGGAGAAATTTTCTTTAAAATAAATTATTTAATCCTAGCTTTTATGTTATTCACTAGCTTTTTTTTTTTATTTGAAAATTATAAATTCTCTACTATGGGAATTCGTTTTCTTGTGGCATCATTATATGACTTAACTGTGGGAAGTAATTACTTTTGTTCCTCCCAATGGGCAATCATAACATAAACTGTTCTAACATTATGCCTAGATTTTTTGCCTTTTGAGTCTCTGTTCATTGCTTTTAATTAAATTTCTCCAGTTTGGGATTAAGTTGGATTAATACCCAACTATTTTAGAATCATCTAGGAGATTTTTTTTAAATGCACATTGACAGTTTGTAGCTCAGCAATTTTAATTCAGTGTATTTTAAGAAGGCTAATCTGGGGACTTTGAAAATCATGTAACTGTAGTGCTTGTTAAATAAGGTAATACAGTGTTATTTTACAGGGGCATCATAATCCACAGGAAGAGGCTTCTGTGGCTTCCACACCTTTGACCACTCCTGTTATCAAATAGGGTCCAGCCACCTGTCACTGTCAGCCAGTATGCACAGATGGGGATAGGTCGGAAGGCCAGCAATTCTGGACAACAGTCAGAGTAGCGTCTCCAAGACTATTTTGTTCTTCCATTTCCAGAATCACAGTTTATACATAAAAGTTCAAAGCAAAGGCCACATTAGATTTTTTTTTTTTTTGGTTTGTGTGTGTTTGTTTGTTTAGCAGGCCCTGAACCCACCAGCCCCTGTGCATGGGGCTAGCGCTCCAACCATTTAACTAAGGTTGCCCAACCTACATTAAATCTTATTGTATTTTATTTTTATTTATTTTTGAGACATTCTCACTTTGTCATCCTCACTAGAATGCCATGGAATCATACCTTACAGCAACCTCAAACTCTTAGGCTCAAGTGATTCTCTTGCCTCAGCCTCCTTAGTAGCTGGGACTACAGGCATCCACCATAACACCCAGGTATTTTTAGAGATGCGGTCTTGCCTTTGCTTGGGCTGAGCTCAAGCAATCCATCTGCCTTGGCCTCCCAGAGTGCTACGATTACAAGCCTGAACCACCATGCCTGGCCTAAATCTTATATACCTGTAATCCAAACACTCTGGGAGGCTGAGGCAGGTGGACTGCCTGAATTCAGGAAACCATCCTGAGCAAGAGGGAGACGCAGTCTCTTTAAAAAAAGAAAAAAATAGCCAGGTGTTGTGGCAGGCAGGTATAGTCCCAGCTACTTGGGAGGCTAAGGCAAGTGGAACACTTGAGCTCAAGAGTTTGAGGCTGCTGTGAGCTGTGATGCCATAGCATTCTGCTGAGGGTGACAAAATGAGACTCCATCTCACTTGAGCTCAAGAGTTTGAGGCTGCTGTGAGCTGTGATGCCATAGCATTCTGCTGAGGGTGACAAACTGAGACTCCATCTCACTTGAGCTCAAGAGTTTGAGGCTGCTGTGAGCTGTGACGCCATAGCATTCTGCTGAGGGTGACAAAGTGAGACTCCATCTCAACTAAAAAAAAAGTCATTTTCCTAAATCAGCGTTCTGACGGGCATCTTTACGATGGGAGATAAATTTACAAAACACTAAGAATGACAGGAAGTGAAGGTGGCATAGGACCTCCCCAACCAGGCTGGTTGTGTCAGGCCTGCCTTAGCCCGACTTACTCCATCTTCTCCTCACTATATATATGTGCTGTCACTCCCTCTTGTAACTCTCTTCTTGTGCTGTGGTCTTCTCCCTTTTAGCCACTCCTACTCAGTCTCCTGTCTTGTTTTCTCTGTCTTCCTTCCCTTAAATGCTGCTATTCACTAACGTTCTGTTCCAGGCTCTCTGCTTTCTCACCAAATGATACACTTCACTCACATGGCTTCATGTGGGCCCTTTTCCCCCAGAAACCTGAAATCTTGTTTTTTTTTTTTTTGCAGTTTTTGGCCGAGGCTGGGTTTGAACCTGCCACCTCTGGCATATCTGGCCGGTGGCCTACTCCTTTGAGCCACAAGTGCAGCCCCGAAACCTGAAATCTTTTTTTTTTTTTCTAATTTATTCATATTTATTTCATACACATTCTGGAAAGAGCTAAGTAAATGGAAGAAAATGTTCTATAATTTTACAGAAAAAAACAAAAAAGATAAAAAGAAACAACTGAATTATGATTTTTCTAGTTCTCACAATTGATACCAAGTATAGTGAAGCTGAATTCTCCATATTTCAAAGGAAACGCCTATAGAAATGCCATGTGACCTTAGTCCACATCACAAAAGAAAAGGTGTGGTTTACAGTATCAGTAAAGCGCTTACTATTACCTGTCAAGGATCGCACTCAATGTGTGGCCAATATTATTTGAAACAGGAAGATCGTGAAAATAATAAAACATTTATAAAAACGAGTAACACTTGTATAATACACTCATCCAAAAATATACGAATATATTGTCATCTCACACATACAGAATAGGAACCCATACGTGACAAATACTGTTTTCCCCCAGCTCTACCCTGGACCCACATTTTTGGAACACTAAGTGACGTCTTCAGATACATGAAAGTGTCCCCGACTTCACTAGGTGTGGGAGATGCCGTCAGACACCGCACCGGAACTCCCAGTGGCCGTGGAGGTAGAGGCAGCCTTGACTAAAGTGCTAGTCACCTGAGCTCTCTCTTCTTCATCTCGCAGAGCGTCCTCATACTGAGATGGGTAAGACTGTGGCTCAGTCCCACGAACCTTGGCCAGAAACTTCAGGATTTCCATCTTTCTGACTTCAGCATGGGCTCTTGGGCCCCACAGGAATTCATATCGTGCAGGATCACTGTTGGCCACCTGGCGGTACTCCAGGTACTTTTCCATCACCAAATATTTGGTGACTAACTCCTTGGGATGCCCATAGATGAAATGCATCTGTCCAGAATATATTTTTGCTTTACTCAGCACTTTCCAGACTTCCTCTTCAGAGACACAGTTGTCATTGATGAAGATCTCAGCAAGGATAAGGATCAGCAGGCCGGTCTTGGGCAAACCCACTGGAGGATGCATCATCCCATCATAGGTGAGACCCAGCTTGATGGAGATGTCATAGCAGTGGCGGGTGGGTTCCACTTCCTTCACATCAAGGCCAAAGATCATCTCCATGCGCTCAGAGGCTCTCAGGAAAATCTCATGGAAGTGGTCTTCATCATCTTTGATGATCATCTCCCATATATCTGCCTTTCTTATTAGCTCTTTCATTTGATACTTTACCAGCAGGAAATTCACCAGAAAAGCCACTTTCCTGTCTAGAGCATCTATGAGCACATTCTCGGGGTTTGCTGCAGCTACTGCGGTGGTCAGACTCTTTTTCTCTTCTTTGCTCCTGGTGCCTTCATCAGGTTTGCTTGATGAGGTGGCAGTGCTGTCACCTGAAGAGGAGCAGAAACTCTGAGGACCCTCAGGAGCACTCAGCACCTTGGCAGCAGGAGCCTCCTTCAGGTTGCCTGACATTGGCAGGAGGGAAGAGGAGGGCAAGGCTTCCTCCGCAGCGTTGGTGACTTGTGCATTCTCCAGGCCTTGTGTCTCACTCTGGGTCTGAAGGTGCTGGTCAGGTGTGCACGGTGGACTCTTCTTTCTCCGGGGCATGACGTCTCTTGCTGGTGGCAGAAGGCAGGAGTGAGCTAAAGAAGGTGGATAGTGCAGGGTCACTGCCTTGGATTCTTTAAGCACCCAGGGATCCAACCTCTGATGACCTTCCTTCACTCCCTGGCACAAGGGCCATACCTCCCTTGAATCTGGAAGCACCCGTGACTCCTCAGCCAGCTGACTGGAGCCCTCAAAACCTGAAATCTTAAGCTTAGAACTTTCAAACTCTAGATCCACATACCCAAATACCTACTTAGATGCCTTACAGAGATCTTTTAATTGCTAACTGTAAACAGCTCTGCTCTTAGGCTCAGTCTGGTGACTCATACCTGTAATCCCTACACTCTGGGTGGCCACGGTAGGTGGATTCCTTAAGATCCAGAGTTTGAGAATAGCTTGAACGAGAGCAAGACTCAGTCACTAGAAATAGCTGGGCACACTCTGGGAGGCTGAGGTGGGTGGATCACCTAAGCTCATGTGTTTGACCCCATCTCTAAAAATAGCCAGGCACTGTGGCGGGTGCCTGTAGTTCTAGCTACCTGGGAAGCTGATGCAGAGAATTGCTGGAACCCAAGAGTCTGAGGTTGCTGTGAGCTATGACATCAGGGCATTCTACCAAGAGTGACAAAGAGAGACTGTGTTTCAAAAAATAGCTGGGCATTCTGGCAGGCACTTGTTCCAGCTACTAGGGACACTTGTGAGCTATGAAGCCATATTGTACCCAGGGTGACAAAGTGAGACTCTCAAAAAAACAACCAACTCTTCATTCCTGCCTACCCCTCCTGAAATTATATTACAAACCCACAATGTGATCCTGATAATTGGCAAAGTTTCAAATCACTGCCTTAATCTATTTACTATCCTCTAAGAATAGAGTTCTCAATCTGTGAACAGTGGATTACATCTGATAAAAAATCTAAGTGTAACATGAAAATACCTTTGAAAGTATTTTTTGCAGTTTCCTATGTGAAAACTCATTACCCAAGTGAGATATTTGAGAGTATACACTGTCTCTCTATTCCCATTGCCTCTACCTTAATTTAAACACAGAATTCATGATTTCTTTCTTGAATCACTATAGTGCCTTCCTGATTAATCACTCTGCAAGTTGTCTCCAGATTGATTTTTTTTTTAAATCTAGTAATGCTACTCCCTTACTCAAAACTTTTTATGACTTCTTTTGCCTTCAGTGCAAAATGGTACATGAACTGTTAATGTTTTAGCTTCTTCCTTCTCCAGTGTCAACTTTGATCTCTAACATATACTGAAGCCATGCTGAACCATTTAAATTTCCCCCCAAACGCCAACTTGTCTCACTTTGGCCTCCATTCACTCATTCAACAAATATTTATTGAACACCTACTGTACCTTAGGCACTGAACGAATATTCAACACTGGACATAACACTGACCATAGTAAGTCTCTTCCTTTGTTGAGCTCATTCTTGTGAAGCAAGACAGATAATAAATAAGTGGAATTATTTCAGGAATCTATTAGGAAGATGAGTTAAAAGCAACTTTGGGCAGGTTGGAGTGGGAGGGCTGAAGATCTTTAGATAAAATAGGAATGTTTTCTCGGCTTAGCGCCTGTAGCTCAACAGTTAGGGTGCCAGCCACATACACTGGGGCTGGCAGGTTCAAACCTGGCCCAAGCCTGCTAAACAACAATGACAACTACAACCAAAAAATAGCTGGGCTTTGTGGTGGGCATCTGCAGTGCCAGCTACTAGGGAGGCTGAGGTAAGAGAATCGCTTAAACCCAACAGTTTGAGGTTGTTGTGAGTTGTGACGCCACAGCACACTACCGAGGGCGACAGAAAGGTGAGTCTGAGGTGAAAATAGAAGGAAAAGAAGTCAGCCGGCCAGGGGCAGTGGCTCATGCCTGTAATCCTAGCTTTTTGGGAGGCCAGGGGTTAGAGATCAGCTTGAAGAAGAGTGAGAGCCTGTCTCTAAAAATAGCTGGGTATTGTGGCTGGCGCCTGTAGTTCCAGCTACTCAGGAGGCTGAGGCAAGAGAATCATTTGCACCCAGGAGTTTGAAGTTGCTGTGAGCTATGATGCCAAGGGCAACATAGTAAGACTTTGTCTCAAAAAAAAAAAAAAAGAAAAGAAAAAAGAAAAGAGGTCAGCCATGTGAGAACTAAGATTTCTAGTGGGAATAGCAAGCACAGCACCTCTGAGAAGAGAAAGAAAAAGAACAGATAGGAAGCTTTGGTCAAGTAAAATGAGTAAGGGAAAGAGTGTTATGAAATGAGGTTGGGAATACAGGTAAGGGCCAAGTCATTTATAGCCTTAAAACATTTTAAGAATTGAAGAGAAATGAAAGACTGCTAAAGGGTATGAAGTTTCTTTGGTGGGTGATGGTGATAAAATCTTCTAAAATTGATTGTGGTGATTAATGCCAAATTGTACACTTGTATTTTTTTTTTTTTTTTTTTGAGACGGAGTCTCATTCTATTGCTCTGAGTAGAGTGCTATGGCAACAGCTCACAACAACCTCAAACTCTTGGGCTTCAGCAATCCTCTTGCTCAGCTTCCACAGTGGCTGGAATCACAGGTCTGCACTACCATGCCTGGTTAATGTTTCTTTTTTTCTCTCTTTTTAAGGAGAGCTGGAGTCTCCCTCTTCATCAGGCCAGTTTCAAACTCCTGAGCTCAAGCAATCCACCTGCCTTGGTCTCCCAGAGTGCTAGGATTACAGGCATGAGTCACCATACCCAGCCTGAATTGTACTCTTTAAATAAGTGAATTCCATGGTATGTGAATTATATCTCAGTGAGGCTGATGTTAGAATTAATTTAACGGCCCCATGTGGCTAGTGCCTGCCTTACTGTATCTAAATCCTCTCCTGATTCAGCTTATCAATTTTATCAGCCACTGAATATCTTCAGCAAAACATTTTACTGAGCCCCATGCATATAATCTGCAATGACAATGTTTTCCCCTAGATATTTTATAAATATCCCCCCTAAATCAGTCTGGATTTCCCACTTTGCCAAACCTGTTTTCCTTCCTGTCTTCCCTCCTTCAATAATGGCATACCCACTTATCCAACCTGAAATCTTAGAATAAGCCTAGACAAATTTGCTCAAGTATGTCAATTGTTATTATTGATTCTGTCTCCCAAATTTCTCTTCCACTGCTTTAGTTTAGGGCTTCATTTTTTTCTTTCACATGGATTTTTTTTTCTTTCTTTTTTTTTTTATTTGAGACAGAGTCTCACTGTTGCCTTTGGTAGAGTACCACAGCATCACAGCTCACAGCAACCTCAAGGTCTTGGGCTTAAGTGATTCTCTTGTTTCGGCCTCTCAAGTAGCTGGGACTACAGGCATCTGCCACAATGACCAGCTAATTATTGGTTACAGTTGTCATTGTTGTTTGGCAGGCCCGGGCAGGATTTGAACCTGCCAGCTCTGGTGTATATGCCTGGCACCCTAGCCACTGAGCTAGGCGCCGAGCCTTTTGTCTTTTCTTTCTTCTTTTTGAGACAGTCTATGTCATCCTTGGTGGAGTGCTGTGGCGTCATAGCTCACAGCAACCTCAAGCCCTTGGGCTCAATCGATTCTCTTGCCTCAGCCTCCCTAGTAGCTGGGAATACAGATGCCGGCCACAATGCCCGGCTATTTTTATTTATTTATTTATTTTTTGAGATAGAGTCTAACTATGTTACTCTCTGTAGAGTGTTGAGTACTGTAGTGTCACAGAGATCATAGCAACCTCAAACTCTTGGGCTTAAGCCTTTCTCTTTTTTATTTTTTTGAGACAGAGTCTCACTACATCACCCTCGATAAGAGTGTTGTGGCATCACAGCTCGAACCTGCCACCTTCAGTATATGTGGCCAGCACCCTACTCACTGAGGTACGGGCAACAAGCCCTTAAGTGATTCTCTTGCCTCAGCCTCCCAAGTAGTTGGGATTACAGGCGCCGGCCACAATGCCCTGCTATTTTTTTTTTTTTTTAATGTGCTCACCCCCAAGGTTTAGCAGTATCTCCTTTCTCTGTCTTCTAGATTCCAGTCGAATCTCCCAATTGTAACAAACTGGCTTTTTTTGTTGTAGTTATTGCAGTTTGGCCAGCGCCAGGTTCTGCCACCCTTAGCACATGGGGCCAGCACCCTACCCACTGAGCCACGGATGCCACCCTGTATATCTTTTCTCTTTGTGACAAATTTTCGATCAAGGCTCACTGCAACCCCCAATTACTGGGCTAAAGGGATCTTCCTGCCTCAGACTCCTGACTAGCTGGGATTATAGGTGTAGGCCACTGTGACCAGCTAATTTTTCCTTTTTTTTTTTTCCAGGTCTCTCCCTATCTTATCCAAGCTGCAGTGCAGTGGCTACTCACAGGCAAGATTACAGCTGCTACAGCCTCCACCTCCTGGGCTGAAGCTGTCATCCAGCTTCACTTTCTGGAGTTAGGAGTACAGGCACACACCCAGCTATAGCGGTTTTTAAGAAGGCTTTTTATAAATAAAAGAACTTTTTTTTTTCTAGGCAAGACTTTAATGAACTGAACAATTATCAGCATCAGAAAACAATGCAGGAGATACAAAATTATCATCTAAAGTCAGAAGATTTCTCACGCTGGCAACAGTATAGGTCCTGCTGAATTCCAAGTGACTGGCATATTACCTCTACCCTGTGAGGCCCACTGGGACTCTGATGAACATGGCAGTATCTCAGCATAAAGTTCCTTTTCCCTGACAACTGTAGGCAAGGAAAGATGAAGGGAATGTACCCAAAAGGAAGGGGATGAGTCTGGGGTCCCTGTGCAGACAGCACTCGCAGGGGTCCCTGAGCCCAGGGCTCAGAATTTCAGGGGAATGACAGGCCAGTACTTGGGCTGCTTTCTGTCACAGTGCTTGTCAAAGCTCAGCTGCACTGCAGCCTCCATGGCCTGGATTTTGGCAGCGCTGTCCCCATACAAGTGCTTCATCTCGGCCTTGCGTTGCTCTCCTGGCCTCTCAGTCGGGGCTTTGACTGACCTGTGGGGGTTGTAGCACAGGTCATGGTCGGCGTTCACATAGTCATCTAGGCGCTGTGCATCCAGCTGCTGCTGCTGCTGTCGCTCTTCTCTATGCCTCTCAGTCTCTGCAAAGTACTGGCGGAGCTCCTCCGTGATTTCCATGTTGCTCAGGTCACATTCTACCCCCACATCTGACTCAGTCTCTACCTCCTCATCTTGGGAGGGAGTTTGGTCTTCTCTTGAGGATACCTGGAACCTCTTGCTAATATGTCGCTGCTTCCTAGACCTTCTGAAATGTGAACTGCAGTGGTAGTCCTGCTGGGCTAAGTGATGGTCACTGAAAGACTGAAGATCTCTAGCCTCATTATCACAAGAGCTTTGGGAAGAAACTGCAGAAGAGAGATGCCATGGAAAACTGAAATAGAATTGCATGGCCTTTCTGTAGGCATTCCGATGGTTTCGCATCGAAGTCATTCCTTGATGATAATGTTGCCAGTATCTTGCATATGCTGGGTGAGAATACCAAGACTCAGCTTTTGATGTTGATGCCTGTGCTGCCATCCTTCTTGTGAAAGTCCAAATGGGCAATGAATCTCCCCTGGGAGTGTCTCTTACTCTTTGAAGGCACAAACCTTCATGCACTGAACAGCAAACTCTAATGGACTGGCAGAGCTAGTGGGCACGTAGCTTGTAGACCCTGGGCGGTGGGTGAGAAGGTGCCTAATTTTCATGGGACACACTGAGGTGAAGGGGAATGGGGAACCGCAGGAGTGAAATAAAAGAACTTTTGAAAATACTTTCTTCTTTTGAGTAAAGGATGAGGAATTTTTTTTTGGGGGGGGGATAGTGAATCTCACTTATGTCACCCTCGGTAGAGTGCCGTGCTGTCACAGTTCACAGCAACCTCAAACTCTTAGGCTCAAGCGATTCTCTTGCCTCAGCCTCCCAAGTAGCTGCGACTACAGGCGCCCACCACAACGCCCAACTATTTTTTTTTTTGTAGTTGTCACTGCTGTTTAGCAGGCCCCGGGCCAGGATCGAACCCGCCACCCTCTGTGTGGCTGGCGCCGCAACCACTGTGCTACGGGCGCCGATCCTAAACGAGCTTTTTCCACCTCCAGTCTAATTGTGGCTACCGTGTGTCTGCTTGCTTCCAGGACTTTTTCGTATATTTTGTGCTTCTCATAAACGCCCATGCCACCCCAGAAACGGTTTTACAACCTGCTTTTTTCGTTTTACGAAGTGTAATAAAGTCCCACTCACTTCAGCGTCCTTCCCACGGTAGCTGCAACGCCACGTAATCCTCCCTGGCTCTAACACCGAAAGGGCGGGGCCAAAGCAGAGGGCGTCGGCGGCGCGCAGTGATTACGCATTGGGTCGTGCGCGATGACGGCAGTGACTGCGGCTCAGGGGCGGGGCGCAGACTGTGGCGGCGTCGGACACGCGCACACGTTGCATCTTCTTGTTTTCTGCCGGTTCTGCGTAGTTCAGGCGCCAGCCAGGAGGACCGACAGGTAGACCGGGCGAGTAGTGGAGATGGCAGCGCTCTGTCTGACCGTGAATTCTGGAGACCCTCCTTTGGGTAAGGAGCCGAGGCCGCTGACTCTTGTGGGTTGCATCAGCCAAAGAGGGAGCGGGGAAGGTCGCCGCGCCCTGGCTTTGCGCAGTGGTGGTCACCATCTGGTTGATTGGGCCTGCCCCCTCCCCTGAACTGTCCGCGGCATAGGCTCCGAGCCGCTCGCCCTCTGTCCCCTGGCCGGTGCCTTTGCTCCTGAAGTTTTCTAGAGCGTGGAGGGAGGCGCAATGTGAGCCGGGCTGGGAGACACGAGGCTAAGCTTGGGACCTTGTTTTAGAGGGACGACTCCTGCCCAAGTAGAGACCGAAAGCTGCTCGTAGAAATCCCATTTTAGAACTTAAGACCCAATTATCTTAACTTTCCTTCTTTTAACGTTTTTCCCCCTAACTCTCCTTATGTTACTTCCCTTCCCGTCTCCTTTACAGAAAAGATCCTCATTGACTCGACTTCTTACATGCAGACGATCCTGTAACCATTTAGGATTTCAACTGAGGTTGCATTTATTTTTAATTAAAGGTGCTAGGGTAATTGAAATACCCAGGTACACCGCAGATTGATGGAGTTGCTTTATTACACACTCTGTGAAGGTGTAGTAAATGATAGAGTAAATATTGGACATGTCACCTTCCTAATATATTTTAAGTTCCATTTGGAATTGTTTTGTCAGCGTGGCCAAGGTTATTGTGGATAGATCGCTTATAGTCCCTTTTTTTTTTTTTTTAAACAGTCACTTTGTCGCCATTTGTACAGTGTTGTGGCATCACAGCCCGCAGGAACCTCAAACTCTTGGGCTCAAGCAATCCTTTTGCCTCAGTTTTTCAGTTTTAGTGGACACGGGGATGGGGGGGAGGTCTCATTCTTTCTCAGGCTGGTCTCGAACTTGAGAGCTCCAGCGATCCACCACCCCCATCCCACCCCACCCCAACCCCTGCCGGTTTTAAGATTACAGGCCTGAGCCACTGCGTGTGGTGGAGGTTAGATTTGGAAATTACACAAAAGAATTTCAGTAGTTTACTGATCTTATATTTGAGTGTGGTGGAGGTTAGTTTTGGAAATTACACAAAAGTATTTCAGTAGTTTACTGATCTTATATTTGTTAATGCTTATGTATAAAATACACAAGTACTTTCTTTTTTTTTTAGAGACAGAGTCTCACTTTGTCACCCTCGGTAGGTAGAGTGCTGTGGCATCACAGCTCACAGCAGCCTCCAGCTCTTGGGCTTAGGTGATTCTCTTGCCTCCCAAGTAGCTGGGACTACAGGTGCCTGCCACAACTCCCGGCTATTTTTGTTGTTGCAGTTTGGCCCGGGCTGGGTTCGAACCCGCCACCCTGGGTATAAGGGGGCTGGCTCCCTACTTACTGAGCCACAGGTGCTGCCCACACAAGTACTTTCTAACATTTAAGAAACCCAGTCCATTAGATATAATTGTCCAGGTGGGGATGATGAAATTGTTCATTACTTTCTCAATGTTGGTGATGTTTTGAGTCTTTTGGAACAAAGGCACAATTCAATAGCCATTTTAAATATTTAGAAGATGCTGATGTTTTGTCATATTGGTCCCTGTAATTGTGAACTATCCTCGCAACAGATCAATTCTAAAAGAAATGACTTTGATTTGTGAACTGGAAAAGCACTGGACCTGTCCTTGGTTTAGTCCTGGCTACCACTTATTAGTTGTGGACCCTTGACAAGTTCCTTGTTAGGCTTCTCTCACAGTTTCCTTGTTTAAGGAAAGAGGAATAATATATTCCACGTGGAGTTGGTTGCTACAATTAAATGAGACTGAAAATTTCTGATACATTTCAGATAATAAATGACTGTAATTTTTACTAAAGTTCCTTAGAAAATCATTCTGATGGTGATAGACCTGTTTCCTTAGTGAATCATAGTAGAACTCAGAATCACATTCTGCCAGTATTCTGTTAAGTCTAAAAGAAATTTATCATTTTGGGCTTGATGCCTATAGCTTAGCAGCTAGGGCACCAGCCACATACACTGGAGCTGGTGAATCTAGCCTGGGCCTGCCAAACAACAATGACAATTGCAACAAAAAAATAGCCGGGCGTTGTGGTGGGCGCCTGTAGTCCCAGCTACTTGGGAGGCTGAGGGAAGAGAATCGCTTAAGCCCAGGAGTTTGAGGTTGCTGTGAGTGTGATGACATGGCACTCTACTGAGGGCAATAGAGTGAGACTTTGTGTCAAAAAAAAAAAAAATTTATCATTTATCAACTCTAGACCAGTGTCAACTGTATATTACTGCTCTAATTTTTCCTCTTTTTTGTCTTTAATTTAATTCTTCTGAGTTTAATTTAAATAAATTTCACCTTTAAAAAATGAGATGAAACTGTCTCAAAAAGATTAAAAAATGAGATGAAACATTTAGGAAAATAGATTGCATTGTTAGAATTTCCCTATTTTATAGGCATGTAGCATGTTATGTATTTAAAGTTAAAATAATTTCAAACTTACAAAAAAGATGCAAGAATGGAACGGAGATCTTTGGTCCTCCTTACCACATCTTTGGTCTGCCTCTACCACCACGAGCATACTGCAGATATGGATCTGATGCTTCAGTGCCCCCAGAAGACTCCAGTGTACATCTCCCAAGAGCCAAGAAACCATATGACCTCATACAGCCATCAACATCAGGAAATAGAAGTGATAATAATCTTTCTGCCTAATGTACAGAACCCATTTTGTTCTGTCAACTAAATCGTTCCAACAATATTCTCCAAAGTGCAAGCATCAGTATCCAGGATCATGCTTTGTTTGCAACTCATCATCCCTCCCCATTTTCTTTCACTCTGGAATGGGTTGTTAATTTTCCTTTGGCTTTCATCCCTTTGACCTTTCTGGAGATGATAGGCCATTTACTTAAAGAATATTCCGTGATTGAGTTGTCTGAGGTTTCCTCATGGCTAGATCTGCATCTTTTGGCAGGAATAGTGCAGTGATTCCTTGTTCTTCATTGCAGCCTATCGATTGGTGCATGAATTTAATTTTCTCATTACCATGATTCTTCCCTTGATTACTTAAGATGGTATCTACCAGCTTTTCTCACTGCACAGTTTTCCCTTTATAATTAACAGACATTTTTGTTTATTTATTTTTTTGAGACGAGTCTCACTATGTTGCACTTGGTAGAGTGCCATGGCATCACGGCTCACAGCAACCTCAAACTCCTGGGCTTAAGCGATTCTCTTGCCTCAGCCTCCCAAGTAGCTGGGACTACTCGCACCCACCACAATGCCTATCTATTTTTTTGTTGCAGTTAGCTAGCCCTGGGCCAGGTTTGAACCTGCCAACCTTGGTGCATGTGGCTGGCAATGTAACCACTGTGCTACAGTCGCTGAGCTAGTTAATAGACATTTTAATGGGGAGATGTCTTGGAACCACATAAATGCTCCACTCTCCATCAACCCTTCACTGACTGGTTTTTGCATCCAGTGAAACTTCCTGCCCAACTTGATTATTAGTATGTTTGCCAAATAGTGATTTTCCAATGCTGCTATTCCTACTGATACAGGATTCTACCACTCAGGGCTGGACAGGGAGACCCCCCGCCCCCCATTCTCTAGACCTAGGTGACTTCAGACATCAGACCCCAATTTCCAGGCATAAACAGGCTGCCTTTTTCAGGACACAACCTCTGGGTTCTAACTAGATCATGAACAAAGCAGCCTGAGATGCTTTTTGGGTGATTGCACCTTGAGTAGGGAGCACACACCCTAATCCCTCCTCAGAGACAAAAACTGTAAGGACCTGATAACCTTGCCCTAGTGGAGGAGGAACTACATTCATTTGTTGATGCACTCATTAACTTTGAAAAGATATTTTTCCACTTACCAAGTCCTGACAAAGCGTAATTCTCAAGACCTAGTCCTCCTAGATTAGTGATTCTCAGCCTGTGGGTCAGGATCCATAGCAACTGTATTAAAGGGCTGGCATTAGAAAGGTTGAGAACCACTGCCCTAGATAAAGAGCCCATATAGAGATGCCCCAGTTAGTTCTTTCCCCTTCCAGACGCTCTGGTGCTTTTTAACTTCTGTATTCCTTTCTAATAAAATCATATCTTTTTTTTTTTTTAAGACACATAGTCTCACTTTATTGCCCTTGGTAGAGTGCTGCGACATCACAGCTCACAGCAGCCTCCAACTCTTGAGCTTAGGCGATTCTCTTGCCTCAGCCTCCTGGGTAACTGGGACTACAGGTGCCGGCCATAACGCCTGGCTATTTTTT